TCCCTCCCTCCGTGGAGGTTTCGCTGAAAAGTTACGAGTACCGGAAGCTGTAAGCAGCGGAAAGAAATTTCATGATACGAGCATTTCAAGCTACCGACGCTTTACTGCTGTACGGTTGGAATATCCGAGAATAAAATTCAAGTTTTTACATGGGATCGCGAATGCGTCCGTCTCGTTTGCTATTTTGCTAAAATTTCCACAATCCGACCAATCATCCCTCTAGACGCACAGCCAGCATCCTCGCTACACGTCACTCCCATCACCACTGCACGTTGTCAAGGGTCCCGATTCGAGGATCGGGCTTGTGCAAGCAGTAGCGAGAGATCACACGAAAGGCCAACGCGTCGAGACGACTGGACCATCCTTGGATCGTAGAGATGCTGTTATAAATTCTTTGTTTCTTGCTCTTTCACTCGCATCCCTCTTTTTCTGGCACGCCCTCCTTCGAATGGCGAACCTGAAGAATGCAAGAGTTTTCTTGGCTCCGTTTCACAATAATCTCCTTCAACCGTATGAATCTTCTCAAGGAGCTTTTTCTTCTTTGTCGTGACTGTGCCGCGTCTCGGAGACCGAGAGGAAATACGACAAGGAGCAGGAAGCAGGACAGCCAAGGAACTCGGTTTACAGCCGTCTTATTTACACTACGCGTACCGCAAAGAACCTCCTTCTTAATTACAGAAAACGTAAGCAGACGCAAGTCTCCCGGCCGTACTTGCTGCTTGCGGAAGAGACGCGGTTAACCGACGATTTCCAAGAACCTTTAGAAGCACCCAGTAAGGCCTCTTGCTCCTTTGCTCTTGTCCCAGTTCTCCAGCCCTCCGGTTTCCCAACGTGACCTCCATAACCTACGGCGAATGTCTCAAGAGTTCCAGCGCGCAGGAATTATCGGTGGACCATACTCCGTTACACCGGTTAGTCCAGGGACGTAGAACGCCGAGCGAGTAAAACACGGAGAACAGAATGGAATCTCCGTAATGTCCTCGTCCTTTTAAACTTTTATGATTTCACGTTCGAGCGAGTCCCTTTACGATCTGCATTGCCAACTCCTTGAAAATGTAGCCACCGTCGGGCGGAATGACGTTTAGCGAATCCGCGCTTATGGTGCCTATACGGAGGAAAGAGAGCGAAGAGGGACGAGCACGAAGGAGAGGAAGCGAGTAGACGTCAGGCGTCTCGCAGCTCACAACTTCCAGTTGCATTCGCTCTCCGTCGTCGTTCCCGACGCGAAAGCGTCGACCATGTCGTTCAACTCCTATCGGTTACTTCCCCTAGAGCCTGTAAAACTCTTTGCCTGCCACAAGTTCGACTGTCGCTTCCTTCTTTAACTCTTGGCCTTCCGACGTCCCGACGTCCCGACGTCCCGACGTCCCGACGACTCGACGTCTCATCACGTCCCTTTCTTCTTGTTTCGTCGTCCCTTTCGCCTTCGATGCGATACGTCATTGAGGATAAGTCGCGTCCCAGGGAAACGCGAGGCTCCCGCCAGCGAGGAGGAGATACTCTAATTTCCTTATCGTTGGCTTTAAGGTTGGCAGTTGGCTATATTCTAGTCCCACCGGTTTACGCGAATCCAACACCACTTACTCGCACTCTGGATTTTGACCAACCTCATCTGTCTCGCTTCGCTAAATCTTCGGGGCTCTCGATATACATATAATTCCAATGAAATAGTATAATTCTACTTGTTCTCAATTAACCTCTAGTTAAGAGATTACCTTACTTCCGCTTAGCGAACTGTAAGTCCAACCAACGGAAATCAAAGGATTTTCATAAATCATTCTACGTGGTTAATTGCTCAGCTCGTTATTGATATTTATTTTAAAGTCCGTTCAGCTAATCCTCTGCCTTCTGGTTATCGGATTAGGATCAAATTGGTTAAGTGTTGAAATCACTGAAAATCTCTTTCTTCGTATCCGGCCATCAGCGTTTGACTTTTTGCTATCATTCTGATCAGCTCAACTCTGATGCCCTCCTATTCCTAGCGTATTCTCTCTCTGTCCCGCTCTCTCAAGGCAGCGGTTGTTTAAACATTAATTTCCCCAAGCGAGCTCGCGGTAACTCGGAGAAATTCTCCCAATTCCCGACGAACTCATCGGCGCGCTTCTGTCACCTATAGAGCGATACGCCGAAAGCTCCGAGAAAGCTACGAGAAGCTCTGGCATCGCAAGTCTTTGAACAGAGGAAAGGGGAATAACAGCAGCAAGATACAGACGCTAGAGATCCGCCAATTCGTTTACTTTCTGCTCTTCAAGAGAATCACTCCCGTCTCCCGAAGCACAGGAGACATCGTCTATTTGTCTTGGTTTTCCCGGTGGCTTAAGCTTCGCTTAAAGCTCTCCTCATCTCGGCTACTCGATGTCCGAATGAAGATTGGGTCATGTCCTGGCTGGTCGGACGTAGATTCGTCAGCCTCGGCATCCTCCTTCCTTTTTTTTTTATTCTCCAAGAACCCTCCAAGTCCTTCCTTCCCCCACGAAGACTCCCTCAGTCCTAACCTAACCTCCCTCTCTGTACAAATAAACGGAAGCCACTATCTCGACAGAGAACGACGACGTATTCGCTTGTTCCGCTGCGTCCTGCCTTTGCTTCCCTGCATTCTCCTCCCTCTACCTTGGGGACTTCTTCGGCTCTGCCTTGATGCGCATCTGCGGCCTCCCCGATCTCGTGTCGTGCTCAAGGATTAAACGACGGTTCCCCAGGAACGTCGCAGCTGCGGGAGTCTCGTCGCTTTCAGAGGGAACTAGGTTCACCCGGAACACCAGCTGGAACTCTTCACCGAGAATGAGTCTCCTCTAGACGTCGCTAGCTTTCTTCTTGCAAAGATCTGGCTCCAAGAGGAACATGATCTCGTCCACTTCTTCAGGCGAGAAGATCAGAGTAAGGGATTGCGAATAAACAACCAGTTGCGATAAAATTCTGATGCAGCTGTGACGTGTACCGTTCATCGGCGTCGCCTACAAATAATCCGTGGCTGCTCCCAACGTGCTGTAAACGAAGAAAAGATCCGAAGATCTAATTGTTGGGCGCCAGGTGCGGCTTTCCCGCAGCACCATCCCTCAACACGGCCGTTTTCTGGGTTTCCGGCGGCTCGGCCTCAACGCACTGAAAATGGTAGAGGGGACCATGGGGGCGACGAGAGAGAATTTCGGAGTCCACGGATAGGCGCGCAAAATGATAAGACAGCGAGTAGGATACCGTTCCGTTTATGAGCACCAAATAAACGGCGGATTTTACAATACAAATCCCGTCGCGTACAGTGTGTTCTCCAACGGCGGCTCACGACTATTCCGAGTCGTGATTTCTAGCCTGCCCCAGACCTGTCCCTATCTCGGTGTCCCTACCGAATCCGCGAATCCCCTCGCGGCGCGATTCGCGATCCTAACGGGTCTCGTTGGAGACGAGCCTTTCCTTCCTCGGGAGTGTGCCCTCTGACGTCGGTGGCCACCGGAGGCCTCCGTGTGTCCGCACCACTCCCGCTCGGCTATCTTCTCGCGCAAGATATTCTCTAAATAAGACCGCCCTCGCGGTACTTACCGAGAACTGGCTGTCCCATCAGTCCCGTGCCAAATCCAAATCGTGGTGGCCGTGCCCCTTCCGCCTATCCCCGTGGTGCCGCATCCCGGCTCCACGAGGGTGTCCATCAAACACTCGGAATTTCACACAATCGGCCACGCACTGGCACTAGACCATAAAAAAAAAAACCCGGGAGCCATGGTTCTCAGCGAGAGATCCCGATAATCGCATTCCGCGATTATCCGATAGCTCCGCTGTCGCCCGAGCACGGAAGAAGGACTCATTTTTCGCGGTCCGCCGGACACCCGACTCCTTACACGCGGACTCCCCGCGACACACTCTCTTTATCCTACCTACCGCTCTTCGCGGTAGGTCAAGAATCAAAACGAATCTCCTCTCCAGCGCCCTCCCCGCGGACCCGCAAACCGTAGCCGTTCAAAGTTCCCGGGGTACCGGCAGTGCGTCCTGGCGGTTGAGCACCCCTTGCGTGCGGGCTCTCGACCCAAAAGGGCCCTGTGCCTCCGCCGCCAGTCCACTACTTTCCTCCGTTCCCTCCTCCTGAACCACGGGCCTACGAACTCTTTGGAGATGGAGGCCGGAGCCACTGCCGTGCCGTCGGCAGCGCGCGGAGGTGCGGGGCTTTTGTAATGTGTCGTCCTGACGCCACGTTACAAGCTTTATAATAACATTCGCCGCTTTAACGAAGTGAAATTTCGTTTTGGAGTGGCTTCAGATTCCCTGACAAAAAAAAATACATGAAATGTTCACATTAAGCGAATTGCCTGTATTCCCCGAGTTTCACGTGAATAGTATTTTTAATTACGGGAAACATAGCCACCAAAGATCCATCAGCGGTCTCCAGAGGATTTCATTACTCGGAGAGAAGCCAAGTATGTGAACATTACATTGTTGCAGCAACGAATCGTGTTCCGATCAGCGGAATCGACAGAAGTGGTGTCTGTGCTACAAATAAATTGCGTCAATTTTTCGTACCGGCTGAAATTCTACTTTTTTTTTCAATTTTTTATTAGATGATTTTGTGAGCGTTCCCAAGAGTACGGACTCCGAGCCCAATTGTGCTGAAATTGGAGCCATCAATCGAGTGGAACAATGGACCCTGGTTGGCTGACCAGCAACCTCAAGCAGGAACGCCGTTTCTCCTCTAATTTCAACTTTTCTCGTTCGCCTGCTGGGAAAGAGAGTTGATGTGTCTGAGCAGCGATTTATCCTCGAGTATGATTAAAAGGAAGTAATCTGACAATGCGCATCATTTTTGTACCGAGAGAAGTCCAACAGTTTTTACAAGTAAAAATGCGGCGTTAGAACAGGAGAAACACGATATTCCATTCGACGTTCCTTAGACACCTTAATAGTCTATTCTTACTATTTCTTTACTCTCTTCATTGGCTACAACTCGTATATATTCTACAGAGTTTTTCATGGTTATAAACTCTCAACAGTAACGAATATATTGTCAAAGGGCTATCGTAATAGTTTCTATATATTAGGTACGTTCCAAAACTCACTGCCAGTACCACGAGTACTATTGTATCCTTGTTCATCTGTATGCAACAGAGTGAGACACAACCAAGTTCTCAGGGCTTTCCGCGAATATCGAAAAGAAACCGTAGATGTACGCGAGTATCTCTAGACTGGAACTGTGATGCCATCTGGGGTTTAGTAGTGAGATTTGATCTAGAAAGATATAACAAAATGCACTGTTTTACCAACTGAAGGCTACTTATCCTAGGATTGTTGACGACAGATAAGCAGACTAAGGATTTTTGCATATTTCATGAGAAGAACCACGATTTTCACATGCGACAATAATCTAATGATTCGAAAACAGAAATGCACACAAGACAACGGTTTAAATTTTAAATCATGGCTTTCCAAAAGGATGATCAAAAATGAACAAAGTAAAAGCTGTCAGTACAGATATTGAAGTATACATACGTAATAAGGTATGTAAGAAAATACAGGAATAAGGAATATGTAAGTTTCATGGAGTTAAATTAAACGTCAAATTGTTGTTAAAACTGATATTTATTTATGTATCGACACTATTATAAAACCGATGGTAATAGTAATCAATAATTCAGAATATTAATATGATTAATAGCAATCTATGCTAATAAAGATAATAAACATGATCGTATTGACATCGTTGCTAATGATGCTAGAGTGTGTACCGTTATCATAGACATAGAACAAAGATTACTAACACTTGTTACTAGTTGTAACTGCAACAGATCTCACATTGATTACGAAATAGTACAGTAATCTTTTTCAACTTTTCTTATACAATTTGTACTCGAAATTTCGGCAGGCTGGTTGGAACATCTGATCTCGGGATTTTCGCTTCGGGTCAAATCAATCGAATCTAGCAGAGGATTGCGCTCACTGTGAAACTTCAGCCTTCGCTCATCAATAATTATAATCGTCATCATCCTTTTCATCGGTAACACATACAAAATCTATCTATATTTCCTGTTCAAAGCTTTTAAAATGGGTCCAGATTCGGCAATTAGGAAAATTTCTATTTTATCTCGCCTACTCTTCGCCTGAAGACTATTTTGCTTTTTCCCATTAGTTCTTAAACTTTTGTACTTTCCATCATTATTCACTAAATTTCTGCATTTTCAAATGTTCTCTTTCCTAGTTGTCATTTTACAATCAGTATATTCAGTTTATCCCCATATTATTTCATGCCTGGTATGGATGCGTTCAAGCGAGCAACTATATCGTGTGTACGATCACTGATGTCGGTAGGCTAGATCAACGTAACGTAACGTAACACAAAAAAAAATAAATGTTGACTATGAAATTGAAAATTGTGAAATGTAAAATATGAGCCCAAAGAATCTTGAATGGCACGGATGCATTTTTTTTTCTGGAGAATTTCTCTTTCTCGTATTTCGCATTGAACTAAAATATCGCAATAGATTATCAAATGACAACTGCCACGTTTGCTGAACTTTGGGCTCCAATTGGCCACTTATCCTTTGGCCAAATCCATTTCCTAAACCATTACCATTTCAGCATTCTCATTAATTCCCACTGTTTCTATACACTGACTTTAAGAAGATACACAGAAGATCTCTCTTAAGAGCTACTACTCGCATATTTATAATTGTTAATTCCCATTAAACTATCCTATCGTTATAAACTTACACTTTGTACATAACACGAGTTCAATTGCCGCGTGTCTGCATCTCGGTATTCTTATATATCAATTTTTACGTCTGTCTCTCTGATTGCATTTGTGATTGCAGCTATCTCTTATCTTCCTTTGCTCTGCATCTACACGCGATTCACCTGCACCTTTTCTATGCCTTGCACGGCAGTACTCGTTTTCCCACATTATCCGATATTCGACTTACAATCTTAAATATAACCATACGTGTCTTATGTGTGACATTTGTTTTAAGATATGTGTACAGGTGTGCATGAATGAGTGTATTGTGTTTGTGTCCTGGAAGAGGTGTGTTGCATGGTTGTGCCATCGTCTCTCTAAATACACATAGAAATGTGTGTGTATATATATTTATATATATGTTTAAGATTATTGACGGCAAACCCACCATCTAAAAGTGATTTTAACATAGAAATAAAACGAACATGTTAAGTTCAGATGGTGCGTCTGCCTTGAATAACCCTTGTATGTATAATTTTAAAAATTATCAAAAAATATCAAGTCAGTTTATAAAAACAAGTTGTCAGTAAGTCGTCTTCGACATTGAACATGAAGGCCAATCGAACCCTGATTGAATAATCGACTGACGTATCTAAATAGCGACATGAAAATTAATTTCATGTAGCAGCTTTTTCATTGTTTTTTCTGCCTTATTTTTTAATATCTTTCTTTAATTATTATTTAGAACCTAGTACATCTTGAATTCGAGTGACGATCCTGCTAAGGTTTTCGCACGGCGAGATGAAAAAATGTTGGCAGGTTTGTGTAATTTTATTCCATTAAGGTCGGAAGATCGTTCGTAATCCAGAAACCGGAGTTACAATTCATGCAATGCATAATTTTGACCTAGTACGAGAGGCTGTCAAATGCTAGATAGCAGTTAGTTAGCAGTTTTACAGTAGACGCCGTATAACTTTTGTGTCTTTGAAATCGCCTTCCTCGATACACGAATATACGTTTCTTTCAGCGCCACGAATTGTCTCTTTAGAATAAATGCTACATCGTTTGAAGATTACATACTCTGTACGCATGTGATGAAAAATAAGAATGTTTCGGAGGCATCACCGCTGATGAGCTGCCAACCGCTGTCGGGCTATACGACTCACGGAACAATATAAATGACAAATTGCAATGCAGCAGACGATCATAGCGCATCACGTGCATTACAATTTTTTTCTGCGATAGAAAATCCCCGTATCTAGGAAAATTGCAACAAAAGATTACGTCAGTTTTCTTGCGCTTCTGTTTGGTTTTTACTCTGAAGTGAAAACCGATCTCACATCTGTCGCAACCCTCCCAGACCGATTGGAAACTATTGAGGCACTATACATATGTATATCTGCACATTTCATATGGCGCGTACATTGATACATCAGAAAATTCTAAAGGCTAAAGTATAAAACATCTCAGGGTCGAATGAGAAGATTCGGCCGCACCGCCGTGTAAAAAAATCGCTCCATGACGATAATCGTAAAATTTTATGTTCACCACGCATCAATTCCCAAAAAATGGTGGTTGTGGGTCCTATGGCGAAGACGCAGGCCAGTATTGTCTCTACACGAGGCAGCTGTCCAAGGTGCGCAGCAGGTCCGACGCCTGCAGTAGACTCGGGTCAAAGTCGTAATTCTCAAAACTCATCATTGACGTTGGTATCGGTGACTCTATTCTCTTGGTATTCGGTACTGAGTTCATCAGCTGCTTCCTGGTGTCTGGGCTCAGATGATCCAGACACACAACTCGTGGAGACTGGGGCACCATTTGATTGTCAAGATGAACCGTTAGTGGCGACAGTTTCTGTTCTAGTAGAGGCGGTATGTTCCGTGGGTCAACGATGTCCTGTGAAAGCAAAAGATATATCATTTAGAACGCTACTCTCTTAAGAACAAACAAGTATGGTTATACAAACAAAATTCTCCAACAGCAGAGCGTGTAACTATTTCATTAGCGATAGAATTCTCTCGGAGTTACTGCGTTTCTAAAGGAACGACAAATGGAATCGGGAATGAAAGCTGATTGTCTATCAAGTGGAAAGCTACGATATCGTGGCTCGCGATTCTATTTAGCGTAACGAAAAAGAATTTTCCTAAATTAGTCCTTAAGGATCCCACACTAGACAGCGTGAACTCTCTTAATTCGAACTACTTCGCCTCGAGGTTAGGTATATCGCCGTAGTAACAAAAATTAATTAAATAATTTCTTATATCTTCTGACAATCTCTCTATGAATCAAGATGAGACCTTGGACCCTATTTCTCGAATCTCGTACGATGTCTCTATGAGCAAATGAATCATTTCACGTTCTTTTGGGGCAGGGAGTTTACGTGTTCTTTAACGCACGTGGCAAATTTGTACTTGAATAATAGTAAGCATATCTTGATAATGAAATAATAGCTTGCGTAAAGATCGACGCTGACAACATATCGCATTCGCCGACTATTGCAGACTAACGAAATAAACGAAGATAAGGAGAAAGAAGGGAGCGAAAGTTTAAAAAGTGATACAAGAAAACAGTGCAAAGGTGAAGAAGAGCTAAGAAGTCGTGACAAGAGTGAAGAATGGAAGATATCGAAAATTCAAGATAATATTGAATATTTTTAATTTGCTCTCGCTACTCTTGCTACTAGTTTGTGATAATTTTACAAATATAATAGAATACGTACTTTTCCATCCAAAATATTTCTCGAAGATTTTACCCATTTCATTAGTAACGACATTATCAAGAAAATAAGTAAATGAAACGAATTAAAAACTCATGAATCTCTAATAAATAGCACGTTAAGCATAAAATTCTATAAGAATTTTATTGTTTGTGCATTCGTTAAAGCGATATGGCCAAACGTCAAATGAATCGTGTTTTCACCGAGACGATAAATTGAGGTAGAGGTGGTAGGAAATGGACACAAACACAAAGGACACATTCATTGGAGGAATTGAAACGCAGCAGACGGGAATAATTTCGTGATGACTTTTAATATATTTCAATAATATTTAATTAACAATTTCATATACTTCGCATATGTACACAACGTAACATTAGAGAGCGACGACGCGGCTGCATTTTCTGTCGACGGGCGAATATATCGTTTATTCGTATGAATTTCTAAAATAACGTGTAAGCGATATATTAGGCGATATTAATTGTGCGAAAAACAATTAACGCGTAATAAACCGATTCCTCTCCATTCCTAGAATTATGTTCCCTTGGACACTTCCATTCGATTCAGTCCTTTGATCCTATCAGAACATACTTCATTTCTTTCACTCTACCAAACATTCATCAACTTTCACTCGCTCTTTCTCTCTCTCTCCCCCCCCCCCCCCCC